TCTTTTCTGCTCCCCATGGCTCAGTATCTAGCCCGCTCAGTGCATCCACATGAGAGCTAACAAACTCATTGACCACTTATACACAGGAACCAATTGCAATTTAAAAAATCACAGATGTGGGAAATTAGCTTTAAATGCCATTTTAACTTGTGTGTGTCACCTTGTGTGTCTGTACCAAGGCCAAACATTCCAGGGTGCGGAAACATCTTCCGACTGTATAATCTGTACCATCGGTGAATACTGGTTCTCCCGACTGTATCATCTGTACCAACGGTGAATACTGGTTCTCCCGACTGTATCATCTGTACCATCGGTGAATACCGGTTTTCCCAACTGTATCATCTGTACCAACGGTGAATACTGGTTCTCCCGACTGTATCATCTGTACCATCGGTGAATACCGGTTTTCCCCAACTGTATCATCTGTACCATCGGTGAATACCGGTTCTCCTGACTGTATCATCTGTACCATCGGTGAATACCGGTTCTCCCGGCTATATCATCTGTACCATCGGTGAATACCGGTTCTCCCCCGACTGTATCATCTGTACCAGCGGTGAATACTGGTTCTCCCGACTGTATCATTTGTACCATCGGTGAATACCGGTTCTCGGAATTATCCTGTTAGAATTTAATTATCTCAGGATAAAGCACTTAGCAGACTGAAAATGTGCAATAATGAGACATGGACTGTGTAAAGTGTACCTGTCTATTTACAGTGAAGATCTATTATCCCTCCACTGGCTTCCCATTGTCCAACGAATACAATTCAAAACATCAATAACATATAAGGCCATTTATAACTCTGCCCCAAATTACACCACCAATCTTGTCTTCAAATATCACCCAAACCGTCCTCTCTGCTTATCGCACGACCTCCTGCTCTCTAGCTCCCTTGTCTCCTCCTCCCATGCTCGTCTCCAGGACTTCTCCAGAGCCTTCCCCAACCTCTGGAACTTTCTACCCCAATCTATCCGACTATCGCCTACTCTGCCCACTTTTAGGCGATCTCTGAAAACCTCTCTCTTCAGGGAAGCCTATCCCACCTTCAGCTAATAACAGAATCTTCTATTCCTCCTACCAGTTCATCCCCCACAGTTATTACCTTTTGTACCTCACCAGCCCCTCCCTCTTAGATTGTAAGCTCCAAGGAGCAGGGCCCTCCTAACCCTCCTGTATTTAACTGTATCATTGCTGTATTGTCTCCCTTTATATTGTAAAGCGCTGAGCAAACTGTTGGCGCTATATAAAATCCTGTATAAAATAATAATAATAATTAATGAAAGTGGAACCATTCTATATTTTATGAAATTTAACAATATTGTGACCATGACCACTGTATAAACCTATTTCAGATAAGTTTAATTTGTTTCCAAATAAAGTACAGTATATATTTTCCCCTGGTTTTCTGGTAAATTTCCCATGCTATCCCTACCCTATTAATGTTAGACGCTCTATGAAATATGCTATACTGTATTTAAAATTTAAATTTAACAAAATATACTGAATCACTGCTGACTAAAGAGGTTGACTCTGCCTCCAACCTGGATACTAAAAGCTGTTCTGACCTACAAATTAAAGAAAGCACATTCACCTCAGTGACCAAAGCCTAATATTTTACATCATGGTGGAAGAGGCTCTGTCATTACCTAAATGTATGTTCACAAATCGAGAGATCGCTATACCTTCAATGCTGATATAAAAGCAGGAATGAAAACTTGCTTAAACGAGAGATCTCTAGTTTACTATAAATGAGTGAATGCCATAGTACTACAGTATATACAGTATATTGTATTTATATGTGTGTGTGTGTGTGTGTATATATATATATATATATATATATATGTGGACCAGACAAGTCGATGAATATTAGGTGTCACAGAAGCTAGCTCCTGAAGATATAGCATTTTGATGATGAAACGCGTAGGGAAGTACCTTCGGTGATGTCACTTATGCTGTCTGGAAAGCACACTGGTTGTGTTTCCAGATGCGTACACCAGATTCTCTTTGCTAATGCAAGTGCATTGACTTTGCTTTTTTTGCCTATTCAATTAACATTTTTACACTATAAAAGGTTCTCCCCCTTTGCTTCTTCCTGGATATGTTGGGCATCCATAAAATTATCTGAGATCTTAAAGAGACTCCAGCAAACATGGGACTCTGGAGAGGTGCTTACCAAGCAGGATAACGCTGGTTTTTTGTTGCAATTTGACTTATTATTTATTTAAGATGCCATTTTCATCGGGTGAGTAACTTAGCAAACTCCATTCTGCCATTACATTAAAGGATAATGTCACCTTTTGTAACCTGTTACAATTAGACCGGCCCCTGATTCTCCCCACCCGCCCCCGATCCCCGCTTTGACTGCTAGTTGGAGATCGTCTCCCCCCTCACTTACTGTCACATTTTTCAAAACGTGGCCGTGCGGGGCTCCGCCCACATGGCCTCGTCATTCATTCAGTCATCTGTGAATGAGAGACTACAAGTCCTGACAGCCTTTGCGGCTCTCAGCTTGTAGTCCTCAATCAACTACCACACCGCTGAATCCCGTATAAGCAAGCAGATATACTGACAGATCTGCAGGAGACCTGCATGACATCAGCGATCTGCTGATCGCTGGAACAAAGGTTTCCAAGCTCCTGCAGACAAAAATAATAAATGCACATTTTTCTTACCTGCAAAAAATGTGCATTTATTATTTCTTTCTAAAAAGTGAACTTATCCTTTAATCGTCAAAAAAGAATCACCATCTTGCTTCATAAACATTGGTTATTTATTTGGTACATGTGCATGAACAAACTGAATAACTGTTTCTGGCTTCCCTGCTATTCCTCAAGTTCACAGGTATGCAGTGAATACACTCTATGCAAACAAGGGAACATTTGTTCATAGGTAAGTACACTGTGTAGCTGGCCAGCTAAGACCAGTCCTAGGTTGTTAATATGGTTCACATATATGTGTATACCAAACCTGCCAATAACCTCAGTACAGTATATATGTGCATATGTTAAAGCCAAAAGCAGAATCATTGCTGTGATTTATGTCTTTGATTGTTATATGACATTTATATATTCATTGTGTTAGCAGAAGCAGAAAAGGAAAATGTGCCTTTAAGAGTTAGTTAAAGGTGAGCCAATCACAGACAGCCTCACACTGTACAGAGCCTTAACCAATCCCAGCCAGTTTCACATTTGTGCCTGTGTAAAACTCCCTGCTAGGATTTTCTAGAGACACATGCTCACCAGACAGAAGAGGAAACAAAGTTCCAATCAGAAAAGCTTTATGGAAGCAGAGAAGGCCAAATAGGTATTTAATGCACCTGTGTGTTCCTCTGTTGTTTAGTAATGCAGGTAGATCTGTATGTAAAAACTGTTGTATGTGTTTACTTGTAGTTCCACCGAATTTATCGAATCAAGTCACTGTAGAGTAATCATAATCGAACGAATTTACGAACTTACGAATCAAGTCACTGTAGAGTAATCTAACAAATTTTTAAATCCAAGTGAATTTATCAATCTATCGAAATATACAGAACGAATTTATCAAATCAAACCACTGTAATATGAAAGAAATAAGCTACTGTATGATAAATGAAACAAGCCATTGTAAGCAGTTTATATGAAGAAGATTGAAGTTATTAAAGAAGTTAACTAAAGTATTCGGTGTGCTCTTTAAACCTACTGCATCCATAGAGCGGCATTGGAGGAATTACAGAGTAAAGTCAGTCTAATCAAACAAAGAAACAGCAATTGCATAATTTTTCTAATGCCACAGCGCACTAGGCACCAAAGGGTGCTGCGCCTGCCACACACTGAGCTGTTCAGTGTACTTATCTGTATATAAGTGTTCTTTTGTTTGCACAGCAACAAAGATAAATCCAAATACTGGATTTGTCATTTATTTGTGCAGCAACCCTTTCTTTATTGCTTTTTGTGATTTGATGGATGTTGGAGCTCATCTGATTGATTGATATTGTGACAGTGCTGCACCATGATGTCAGAAAGATTAGATGTCACCCAGGGTTCCCACTTATGCAGCTTGAGGGGCTTTGGGGTGTCTTTTCAAAGTGGTGAAAACAGGTTTTACAGTTTTCTCCAACATTGGTAACAACTGGATTGGGTCCATGTTCTACAGGAAATCAGCACCCTGATTGTTCAGATGTGCACAGCCCTTCTAGTCAATTGGCTGACCATGACTCCTTCCCCTGGAAACAAGCTGCTGCAGGAACAGCATGTGTGAAGAGACACTGGGAGAGTAACTGCCCTGGCCTCAAAGAAAGGAAATCTAATTTGGCCAGGCTGTTGCCTGCGTGATATTACGAGGTAGGGTGTCATTAGGCAGGAGACTGTGAAGAACAGGTGGATATTTTGTTTGTCACAAAGCTGACTGAGACAAAACGGTGGGGCTGTGTGGAGACCACAGAACTAGTTCTGATAGCCAGGAGACTGGAAAATGTATGTTTTTTTTTCAGGGTGATGCTGAAAATTCCTGCAAGGGTAACCTTTCGAGTTGTTTTGAACTTTACTGTTAAATAAAAGTAAGTCACAAACCCCAACTGGACTGAAATTGATGAAAAGTGCTACATTTGAGTAAACCTCCCACAACTATATTCATATATATATATATAATTTCTAGCCTAGGTTTTTTAGGTTTTTTACTTATTTTGGATAGAGCAGGGTATGATTAGGCTCAATGCATAAGGGGACTTTCAGCTGCAGTGTCCCCCCCCCCCCCCTGGTGCTTTAGTCTGCCCAGGAGGGATGGGTGCAACATCAAGCCCCACTGCACCCAACTTGTCAAAGCCTATGGCAGGCTGTGGCTGGATGGAACTGAATGCTCTACAGAGTAGTACCGGCCTTTAGGGCCCTATCCATTCAGGGACATGGTTCCAGAAAGCAGGCGACAACTGCTCTCTCTTCCTATCCCCCCCCCCCTCACTTTTTGGTTCAGGTATCACAAGGTCAGTGAAATGCTCACTGATCAAAAAAAAAAAACTACCAGAATTTTTGAACTTCCCTTCCTATCTAAAACTAAAAAGTAAAAAAATCGACACTGTAATCAGGTAACACTTTTCAGATGGCTGGCATACAAAAAATGTTTGAAATAGGAATTAACTGCTTCCCTTGATGTTCTTGAGAGGACACTGTCTGTAACATGACCAGGGGTGGACTGACAACACATGGGGCCCCCAGGCAATAGGGGATCATGGGGCCTTGTGTCCTTGCCCAAACTCAAAGCCTATGAAAAAGGTACCAGGGGCATCTCATGGTGCCCCCTATTGACCCCGGGCCCTCGGGCAGTGCCCGAGTTTCCAAATGGTCAGTCCGCCCCTGAACATGACTTCTTACACGGCGTCAATTTAGTTTTTATGTAAGCTACCTGGTAAGTGTGTTAGGAAATTTTTACTTGTTTGTGATGTGCCTTGCCCATTCATGTGCACCTTACTACAAAGGCTAGTTATAAATTGGGGTGATTATCATCTTTTCGTATAGCTTGTTCTGCTTTGGTGTGGGGGGCACATTTGATGCTTTTGGCTGCCATTGAGCGCTTGCTGGGTGTTCAGTGTGAGTTAGGACCGCAGTATACAGAGGAGCCTTGATGTGGGGACTGCAGCTGCCATAAATATTTGCAAATGTGGGCAATGAAACCCTCTGTTTTTAACGTGACTTATTAGACATGGCCAACTTGGTTTGTTTGCAGGCTAGCTGGTAAGTGTGCTGGGAAATTTTTTATGTTTGTGAGAAGCAATTGATTGTGCTTTTTCTCAGTAATAGCCCTGTAGTTTTTTTTTATCTATGAAACTTCTAGGAGTATCAGATATATTCTGTAATATGCCTTGAACTGGCCCGGATAACACCAAGGTGACTGACTGCTGCCTGTGAAGCTTTCCAAAGCCTGAGGCTGTGTGTGGGAGAGTGCCTGCATATCAGTCACAGCATGGAGTTTCAATGCTCAGCGCATACAGAGAAAACTGAGTTCGCTGCTGTCATTCACACCACACATGGAGGCTTCACAGGCAGCTGCAGGACATTCAGCCAGAAGCATCAGAGGTTGAAGAAAACTACATTGCTGTTACTGACAAAAGGCATAATTAATTGCTATGATAGAGCAGTACCAGTAAGTGCTGATTGTGTACATTTTATTTATGTGAGCAGCCTAAAATGTGTTTCTTGATGACAGTGTTTTTTTAGGTCAAGCTGTAAATATAAAGTTAACATCTATTCTGAGGTCAACAAAATCTAAAAAAAAACAGTTGTCATTATCTCCTCTACATCATCCTAATACGTAACAACAAAGCACATACAGAGTAAAATAAAGAAATCTCCTGTTGCATTATGGGAACAGATTATTTTCTCTAGTTCCAAACCTCTTCATCTATGGAAGGCTAGGAGAAGGGGGGGGGGTCTATTTTTTTTAATCTTTAACATATTAGGAACTTGGGTAACGTATAGTGAACATGCAATATAACAGACAGTACAGTTATAACAATGCAGACATCGTAAATGCCTTAGTAACTACATAGTTTCAGAAATGATCTTTCTTACTTTTTAACAGGATAACCGCTTCCAGTCCAGCCTATAATAATATGACGGCCGAGCAGAAGCGATACCATCCTGAATACACGTTATATGCCAGGATTGTGCCTCGCACGCTTCCCACGCGCTGCATTGCAGTGGAATCTATCACCCACTGTGCCTTATGACAGATCAGTGTACCAGGTAATAACGGTAGTTCACATGGCAATTGTACACAATGAATGGCTTCCATTCATATCCATTCCTTGTGTACTATTGTGTTGATCTCTGTAAACGGTCACAGTGATCACGTAGTACAGTAAGGGACAATCACAGTGCATTTGTACCATGTGATAGCCTTGGACAATCACAGCTTCACAGGAGTATACACAGGTTGAATGTATTTCATTCCTAAAAAATGGTTGCTTATAACAGTGATTATACTATAAACAATTATAGTAAAAATCATGTAACAAAAAAAAAATCATAATCACCTCCCCAGAGTAGTACAGTTTCCCCATAGTAACATGGTATTGCTCTTCTCACAGTATCTAAAAACAAATTGCAATAAACAAGAAAAAAATTTTTTTTACAAATTAAAAAAAAATATATAATTTTATATATTTTTTTTACATATTGTCACCAACCAGTGTCTCACCTCCACACCAGTTACATGATGATGTTGTACTACACTGGTGACAGTATAAAACAATTATGAAAAAAAAATGTAATTTCTTAAACTGTGACAAAAATTACATCTTCAGAAAACTCGCCATGCCTCTTACTAAAGACCTTGGACTGTCTACTTTCCAAAAAGGGATAATTTGGGGGTATATGTACTGTCCTGGCATTTTAGAGCCTCACAAAATGAGTTAGGCTGTCAGTACATCAGGATTGATCACATTTCAAATATTTATACCATAGTTTGAGGACTCTAACTTTCCTACAGACAAAATAATATACACTGATTTGTAACAAAGAAATGTAGCAGTATACATTTTGGCCTAAATTTATGAAGGATTCTTTTTTTGCAAACTTTTATAACAGAAAAGCAGAAAAACTTTTTTTTTCAAAATGATCAATCTTTTTCCGTTTATTTTGTAAAAAATATAAAATCCAGTGGTAATTAAATATCACCAAAAGAAAGCTTTATTTGTGTAAAAAAAAAAATTATAAAAATTTAATTTAGGTACAGTGTTTCATGTCAAAGAAATTGTCATTCAAAGTGTAACAGCACTAAAAGCTGAAAATTGGCCTGGGAAAGAAGGGGGTGAATGTGTCTGGTATTGAAGTGGTTAAAAAGTTCTGTCATGTGACCATGCTTCTCTTTTTCCTAATAGTGGGGGGTGGGGTTACAGGATACTATGCAGATACACTGTGTGCCTGTATTCCATAGTCTGTTGAGTTTGAGGCAAGATACAGGCTGGGGGTATGTTCAAGAGGAGGGCTGCGATTGGGAGGAAGTGTGCCAGAGGTAGGCTATGATTGGTTTGGAGGCGTGGTGGCTGAACAAACTATCCAATACAGGCATGCTGTGTGCCTGCACGGTGTTCTGTACTAAATAGCCAGCTAAAGAATGAAAACTGACCAAACTAAGACAGATCAGCTTCTGTGCTTTGTGTGATCAGTTTAGAACAAGGCAGAAAGGTGACTGGCAGGATCTACCAGATACTTCAAATGGAAGAAACTAAATGAAAATAATAGAGATTATGATTTCTAAAAAACAAATATATGAACACACCCTAAGAAAATAAATAATAATAAATTCTGTATTTAGAGTAACATACACTTTAATAAAACTAAAAATATTCTTGATGTAAAGATAGATGCAACACGTGCTCAGGAAAGTTTTTGAGAGTAGCAATTCATACTGTTCTAAGCAGTAGCTTAAAATCGTGAGGTCATTCTGCATTTTACATATATTAATCATACAGTAGTACGCTTTTACAAAAAATTATTTAGAAATAAAATAAAACAAATATTTTTAGTTATTTTAACCACTTGCCACTTGTCCACAGTAGACTTACTGTGAACGGGCAGTACAGTCAGTAACAGCAACATACCTGTATGCCGCAGTGATTTTCCCAGTTTTCTGGAGCGCATGTGTGCCCCCTGCTGACCTGTGCAGTGATTGAACATAGCAAACATTTGTCAGCAGGTTTAAGCCAATGATTTTGCTTTGTCCAATCACAGCACAGAGTTCTGTGTTTTCAAACACACAGAACTCTACACAGACAGTGATCTGGCTGTTTCTTCCTCTTGAAATCAGCTCTGAGTTCAGGGAATAAAAGTAGCTTAATGTGTGAATATAAGCAGCACACATTACACTTGTTAGGCACACAGTTAACCCTTTCACTGCCCTGCCCCTTGATGTTGACCCATTCCCAGCCAGTGTCATTAGTATAGTGTACAGTATTATCACTGATCACTATATTAGAGTCACTAGTAACGTCAGTGTCATTTGGTCAGTTAGTGTACCTCTTAGCCAGGGTCAGTCACTGCCATTACTAGTGTAGTGTCCTTTCAGATCATTGTTGGATCACGATCAGAACTATACTAGTGTCCCTAATAGTATAGTGTCCCTAAAAATGCAGTTTCGTTTTTACCAAAAACATATATCAGAATACATTTTGTCCCAAGTTTATAAAGAAATTTGATATTTCTGGATATGTTTTATCACACACAGTAGACAATATTGTTTTTTTTTACAAAATGTTTGGCCTTTTTGTGTTTATATAATTAAAATTAAAAACCCAGTGGTGATCAAATACCACCAAAAGGAAGCTCTATTTGTGTATACAATTTTTTATAAATTTCATTTGGGTAAAGTGTTGCATGACTGATTAATTGACAGTTAAAATAGCACAGTGCTGAAAAGCAAAAAATGTTTTTTTCATAAAGGGGGTAAAACCTTCCAGAGCTCAAGTGGTTAAAACATAAGGTATTGTTTGAAAAATATACAAAATTAGATGTACTGATAATATGTGTACAGATAAGAGAAGATATGTAAAAAAGAAGACCCACATCTGGGTGTACTTGATAAATACTGACTTTTGTAAATAGGTGAATTTGTTAACCTGTTCACACCGGCATCTCCAGGCCCTTTAAGGGGTTTCAGGTGTCGGGAGATGGGGTGGGTTTTTAGGGTCATGTGACCACTGTGATTCGCTGTCATGACGGTTACATGATCGGAAAAGGTCCCAATCACAAGGGGAAATCAGGACCTTTCAGTGAGACACAGACATATGTGCTGGGAGCGTGCAGGGTGGTGAAACAATCTATCCCAATTCATAGCAATATTCAGAATATCACACATCTACATGGCTGACATGGACAATGACCTTCAGTGGTTGATGCCCAAAACTGTTCCTTCTTCATCTAACTCTACCCATAAACCAATAATAAAGTATTATACTTTAAACACACAACGTTCCAAACATTCAAAAGCATAAAAATGTGAAATATGATTTTATTTTTGTTTTCATTATACAATTTCTAAGGCAATAATGTAATATCTTTTTCATTTCTGTCTGTTTTCATCCTTTAATCACAATGCAAGAATATAGAAAGTTTTTTAAAAGAATTTGTAAAATAAACAAAATAAAATACATACATTAATACGTAAATAAACAAAATAAATATATATGTAGCAAAGAACGCGATAAATACCTCAAAATCACATTTTTAATATCTACTGAACAATTTGGGCTAGAATTCACTGTTCATCTGCCACTTCCTTTATCAATCTTATACAAAAGCCTTCATCCTAAACATTCTAACTTATTTATTTAAAGTGGAGCTCCATCCAAAAGGGGAA